TTTTTTTTTTTTTTTTTTTGTCCCCACATCTTGCTCCAAAGGTATTTCTCTGTTTCTGTTCTGTCAGTAAAGGTTGGCAAACTGGCCGTGAAAAAAATTTCGGTAGGATTTTATGCAATAGCATAAAAAAACCCTAACAGCCAATCACCAAATCTTTAACAAGTATTTCATGTTCAGGACCTTTGTTAATACAAATATACATCATCAACTTCAACCAGAGATTCTTTGCTCTTTTAGGCAGACAACAGAACTACTACATCCTTCTTTCTCATTTGTTTCTGCCTGTCACTCCTTCTCTATTTCTTCTGGTCTTTTCTATGTATTCTTCCCTCAGTCCTGGGGTCTCCCCTTCCTTTCCTCTCTCTCACAGGTGTGTGATGCTGCTGTTGCTCATCTTCTTCTATACCTGCTCCTGCCTCCTCACAGCCTTGTCAGCTCACAGCTATACCAGCTCTGGTGCCTAGCCAGAGTCAATTATGCCAGCAGAACTAATTAGAAGGCACAAGATGCTGTGCCTCATTCTTGAGATTTGTACAGCTCACCATCACAGTGTGCTCTGCTGGTTAGGAAATACTGATTTATAGTAACAAAAATTATAACAAAAAAATATTTAAAGGCATCTGAAATAACCCTGGTGTTTTTATCTTTGGTCTGTTCTGTGCAATTATTTTCATATTAATAAGCTCTAGTATACAGCACTTCTAGGATTTTGCTGGGTATTTGGTGGGGAACAGCATCAGCCAGGAAATGCCTGGAGAAGTGCTGTATTTATGGATGATAAACCAGGCTGTAGATTTTAGAAAGACTGGGTTTTGCCTTTTCCTTTAAATTTTCTTATGCAGTCACATAAGGGAGGAAAGGATGGTGCACTTAAATGAGCTAATTTAGATGCAAAGCCAGTTTTGCCACGGCAGCATGGAGCAGAGCAGCGTGGCTGAGTCACTCAGTTCCCCAACAGTCCCGAGGGTCCCGCTGCTCAGCTTTCTCAATGCTCTTTTCTGCAAGAAAAGTCTCCCCTCTCTGATGCCATGGGATGCTGTGGCTCATGTCATCA